GACACAGACATACACTTGATGTAGGAGTATAAACACTGACACAGATATACACTTGGTGTAGGGGTATAAACACTGACACAAACATCCACTTGGTGTAGGGGTATAAACACTGACACAAACATACACTTGATGCTGTAGTATAAACACTGACACAGACATACACCTGATGTAGGGGTATAAACACTGATACAGACATACACTTGATGTAGGAGTATAAACACTGACACAGACATACACTTGATGTAGGAGTATAAACAATGACACAGACATACACTTGGTTTAGGAGTATAAACACTGATACAGACATACACTTGATGTAGGAGTATAAACACTGACACAGACATGCCCTGATGTAGGGGTATAAACACAGATATACATCTGGTGTCGGAGTATAAACACTGACACAACCATTCACTTGATGTAGGAGTATAAACACTGAGACAGACATACACTTGATGTAGGATTATAAACACTGACACAGCCATACACCTGGTGTAGGGGTATAAACACTGACACAGACATACACCGGGTGTAGGAGTAAAAAACACTGACACAGACATACACTTGGTGTAGGGGTATAAACACTGACACGAACATACACTTGATGTAGGAGTATAAACACTGACACAGACATACCCTTGATGTAGGAGTATAAACACTGACACAGCCATACACCTGGTGTAGGGGTATAAACACTGACACAGACATACATCTGGTGTAGGAGTATAAACACTGACACCGACAGACACTTGATGTAGGAGTATAAACACTGACGCAGACATACACCTGGTGTAGGGGTTTAAACACTGACACAGACATACACCTGGTATAGGGGTATAAACACTGACACAGACATACATCTGGTGTAGGAGTATAAACACTGACACCGACATACACTTTATGTAGGAGTATAAACACTGACACAGACATGCACCGGGAGTAGAAGTATAAACACTGACACAGACATACTCCCGGTGTAGGAGTATAAACACCGACACCGACATACACCGGGAGTAGGAGTATAAACACTGACACCGACATACACTTGATGTAGGAGAATAAACACTGACACAGACATACACTTGATGTAGGAGTATAAACACTGACGCAGACATACACCTGGTGTAGGGGTTTAAACACTGACACAGACATACACCTGGTATAGGGGTATAAACACTGACACAGACATACACCGGGGGTAGGAGTAAAAAACACTGACACAGACATACACTTGGTGTAGGAGTATAAACACTGACACAGACATGCACCGGGAGTAGAAGTATAAACACTGACACAGACATACTCCCGGTGTAGGAGTATAAACACCGACACCGACATAGACTTGATGTAGGAGTATAAGCACTGACACAGACATACACCGGGTGTAGGAGTATAAACAGTGACACCGACATACACTTGATGCAGGAGTATAAACACTGACACAGACATGCACCGGGTGTAGAAGTATAAACCCTGACACAGACATACACCCGGTGTAGGAGTATAAACACCGACACCGACATATACTTGATGTAGGAGAATAAACACTGACACAGACATACACTTGATGTAGGAGTATAAACAATGACACAGACATACACTTGGTTTAGGAGTATAAACACTGATACAGACATACACTTGATGTAGGAGTATAAACACTGACACAGACATACACCCGGTGTAGGAGTATAAACACCGACACCGACATACACCGGGTGTAGGAGTATAAACACTGACACCGACATACACTTGATGTAGGAGTATAAACACTGACACAGACATGCACCGGGTGTAGAAGTATAAACACTGACACAGACATACACCCGGTGTAGTAGTATAAACACCGACACCGACATATACTTGATGTAGGAGTATAAACACTGACACAGACATACACTTGATGTAGGAGTATAAACACTGACACAGACATACACCTCATGATTATTATTAACACTGACACAGACATACACCGTGTGTAGGGATATAAATGCAGACACAGACATACACCTGGTGTTGGAGTATAAACACTGACACAGACATACACAGGGTGTAGGAGTATAAACACTGACACAGACATTCACCTCATGATTATTATAAATACTGACCCAGACATACACCTGGTTTTGGAGTATAAACACTGACACAGACATACACCGGGTGTAGGAGTATAAACACTGACACTGATATACACCTGGTGTAGGAGTATAAAGACTGACACAGATATACACCTGGTATAGGAGTATAAACACTGACACAGACATACACCTCATGATTATTATAAACACTGACACAGAATCTCGAAACTTTTTAAACCCATTCTTAGTGCTTAATTTTAAGCATATGCTTAACTTTAAGCATATACTTTAAAAAGTGTATCTCAAAGGTTCTTAAGTATGCATTCTCAAATTTTAATTTGAGAACTGGCTCAATATTTGAGAACGGTAAGGATCATGCTTAAATATTTAATAACGTGCTTAAATACACAAAATGGCCAACTGTAATTGTCTGATAAGTCATGAAATTCAGCCGCTAGAAAGGAGAAAGGAGACGAAAGGCACAGTGTTTATCGTTTATTTTCATTTATTTATTTATTAATGTATTCATGATTAGCCAACACTTTGGATATAATTAGAAAACCAGCATTTGAGGCCATTCAATACAGTCTTCTATCACAGGATGTCCATAAAATCAGACATTGGCATATAACTAATATGGCCCGGGATGTTGAGATTTGGCCGATAACATCCTGGGATGAAGGGTTACCAAGTTTGTTCAAATGAATGAACACGACTTATATTCAATTTTTACAGAGGTCATTTGTCTTAAAAAACATTTGCACCACCCAACCAATGCAGAATTACAACGAATTTCCTTTTAATTTTGTTTCCAGGACAGACGGACTGAACTTCTGACTTCAATATTGTAATGTTGCATTTTTTTTCTTTCTTTTATAATCATTACGTTTGTTCTTGTGTGAATAAAGTTAATGTCATTATAGATGTAAAGTCCTGTAGACTTGTGAACTTAGGAAATGATATGTAGTGAGAACATTAGTAAATTGTCTATGCTTTTTTATTGCAGTGGTGTGGTTACTGTAGACATTGACCTGGATAGTCGCGACGTCAACCAGTGTAATACAGATCACGGCCTCTTCTCCTTCTCTGACAAATGTCCCCCGGAAACCACTCAGGTAGGTATATTACAAAATATGTACCCACAACAAAGCCAAAATAAGCCGTAACTACACAAAAACTAAAACAAAAAGGAAATACACAGAAACTAAAACAAAATGTAACTATACAAAAACTAAAACAAGAAGTAACTACACAGAAACTAAAAGAAGAAGGAACTATACAGAAACTAAAACAAACTGAAACTATTCAAAATTAAAACAAAAAGGAAATACACAGAAACTAAAACAAAATGTAACTATACAAAAACTATAAGAAAAAGGAACTATACAGAAACTAAAATAAGACGGAACTACATAAAAACTAAAACAAACTGAAACTATACAAAAACTAAAATAAGAAGTAACTACACAGAAACTAAAACAAAAAGGAACTATACAGAAACTAAAACAAACTGAAACTATTCAAAAACTAAAATAAGAAGTAACTACACAGAAACTAAAACAAGAAGGAACTATACAGAAACTAAAACAAACTGAAACTATACAAAAACTAAAATAAGAAGTAACTACACAGAAACTAAAACAAGAAGGAACTATACAGAAACTAAAACAAGAAGGAACTATACAGAAACTAAAACAAGAAGGAACTATACAGAAACTAAAACAAGAAGGAACTATACAGAAACTAAAACAAGAAGGAACTATACAGAAACTAAAACAAGAAGGAACTATACAGAAACTAAAACAAGAAGGAACTATACAGAAACTAAAACAAAATGTAACGATACAAAAACTAAAACAAAAGGAACCTATTCAAAAATTAAAACAAAAAGGAAATACACAGAAACTAAACAAAATGTAACTATACAAAAACTATAACAAAAAGGAACTGTACAGAAACTAAAACAAACTGAACCTATTCAAAAATTAAAACAAAAAGGAAATACACAGAAAATAAAACAAAATGTAACTATACAAAAATAAAACAAGAAGGAACTATACAGAAACTAAAACAAAAAGTAACTATACAGAAACTAAAACAAGAAGGAACTATACAGAAACTAAAACAAACTGAAACTATACAAAAGTTAAAAAAAAGGAAATACACAGAAACTAAAACAAAAAGGAACTATACAGAATCTAAAACAAAATGTAACTATACAAAAACTAAAACAAGAAGGAATACAGAATCTAAAACAAAATGTAACTATACAAAAACTAAAACAAGAAGTAACTACACAGAAACTAAAAGAAGAAGGAACTATACAGAAACTAAAACAAACTGAAACTATTCAAAATTAAAACAAAAAGGAAATACATAGAAACTAAAACAAAATGTAACTATACAAAAACTAAAACAAGAAGTAACTACACAGAAACTAAAACAAAATGTAACTATACAAAAACTATAACAAAAAAGAACTATACAGAAACTAAAACAAACTGAACCTATTCAAAAATTAAAACAAAAAGGAAATACACAGAAAATAAAACAAAATGTAACTATACAAAAATAAAACAAGAAGGAACTATACAGAAACTAAAACAAAATGTAACGATACAAAAACTAAAACAAAAGGAACCTATTCAAAAATTAAAACAAAAAGGAAATACACAGAAACTAAACAAAATGTAACTATACAAAAACTATAACAAAAAGGAACTGTACAGAAACTAAAACAAACTGAACCTATTCAAAAATTAAAACAAAAAGGAAATACACAGAAACTGAATCAAAATGTAACAATACAAAAACTAAAATCAGAAGGAACTACATAGAAACTGAAACAAACTGAAACTATACAAAAACTAAAATCAGAAGGAACTACATAGAAACTAAAACAAACTGAAACTATACAAAAACTCAAACAAGAAGGAACTACCTAGAAACTAAAACAAAATGTAACTATACAAAAACGAAAACAAAAAGGAACTACACAGAACCTGAAACAAAACGTAACTATACAAAAACTCAAACAAGAAGGAACTACCTAGAAACTAAAACAAAATGTATCTATACAAAAACGAAAACAAAAAAGAACTACACAGAACCTGAAACAAAACGTAACTATACAAAAACTCAAACAAGAAGGAACTTCCTAGAAACTAAAACAAAATATAACTATACAAAAACTATAACGGGAAGGAACTATACAAAAACTCAAACAAGAAGGAACGACATAGAAACTAAAACAAAATGCAACTATACAAAAACGAAAACAAAAAGAAAAGGAACTGTACAGAAACTAAAACAAGAATGAACTATACAGAAACTAAAACAAAATGTAACTATACAAAAGTTAAAACAAAAAGAAAATAAACAGAAACTAAAACAAAAGATAACTATACAAAAACTGAAACAAGAAGGAACTACATAGAAACTGAAACAAACTGAAACTATACAAAAACCCAAACAAGAAGGAACTACACAGAAACTAAAAGAAGAAGGAACTATACAGAAACTTAAACAAGAAGGAACTATACAGAAACTAAAAGAAAAAGGAACTACATAGTAACTATACAAAAACGAAAACAAAAAAGAACTACATAGAACCTGAAACAAAATGTAAATATACAAAAACTAAAACTGGAAGGAACTCGAAAACAAAAAGGAACTACCCAGAAACTAAAACAAAATATAACTATACAAAAACTGAAACAGGAAGGAACTATACAAACGCTAAAACAGGAAGGAACTATACAAAATCTAAAATAAGAAGGAACTACCTACAAACTAAAACAAAATGTATCTATACAAAAACGAAAACAAAAAGAAAAGGAACTGTACAGAACCTAAAACAAACTGAACCTATACAAGAACTAAAACAAGAAGGAACTATACAAAACCTCAAACAAGAAGGAACGACATAGAAACTAAAACAAACTATAACTATACAAAAACTACAACAAAAAGAAAATACCCAGAAACTAAAACAAAATATAACTATACAAAAACTACAACAAAAAGAAAATACCCAGAAACTAAAACAAAAAGTAACTATACAAAAAACTAAAACAAGAAAGAACTATACAAAAACTAGATCAGGAAGGACTTATACAAAAAAATACACAGAAACTAAATCAAAATATAACTATACAAAAACTAAATCAGGAAGGACTTATACAAAAGCTAAAATAAGAAGGAACTTCATAGAAACTAAAACAAACTATAACTATACAAAAACTGAAACAGGAAGGAACTATACAAACGCTAAAACAGGAAGGAACAATACAAAAACGAAAACAAAGAGAAAATACACAGAAACTAAATCAAAATATAACTATACAAAAACTACATCAAAAAGAAAATACACATAAACTAAAACAAAATGTTACTATACAAAAACTAAATCAGGAAGGACTTATACAAAAGCTAAAATAAGAAGGAACTTCATAGAAACTAAAACAAACTGACCCTATTCAAAAATTAAAACAAAAAGGAAATACACAGAAACTGAATCAAAATGTAACAATACAAAAACTAAAATCAGAAGGAACTACATAGAAACTAACACAAAATGTAACCATACAAAAACGAAAACAAAAAGAAAATACACATAAACTAAAACAAAATGTACCTATACAAAAACGAAAACAAAAAAGAACTACACAGAACCTGAAACAAAATGTAAATATACAAAAACTAAAACAAAAGGAACCTATTCAAAAATTAAAACAAAAAGGAAATACACAGAAACTGAATCAAAATGTAACAATACAAAAACTAAAATCAGAAGGAACTACATAGAACCTAAAACAAACTGAACCTATTCACTACACAGAAACTAAAACAAACTGAAACCATACAAAACCTCAAACAAGAAGGAGCCACCTAGAAACTAAAACAAAATATAACTATACAAAAACTACATCAAAAAGAAAATACACAGAAACTAAACAAAATGTAACTATACAGGAACTACACAGAACCTGAAACAAAATGTAAATATACAAAAACTAAAACTGGAAGGAACTCGAAAACAAAAAGGAACTACACAGAACCTGAAACAAAATGTAACTATACAAAAAACTAAAACAAAATGTTACTATACAAAAACTAAAATAAGAAGGAACTTCATAGAAACTAAAACAAAATATAACTATACAAAAACTAAATCAGGAAGGACTTATACAAAAGCTAAAATAAGAAGGAACTTCATAGAAACTAAAACAAACTATAACTATACAAAAACTACATCAAAAAGAAAATACACATAAACTAAAACAAAATGTAACAAGAAGGAACTATACAAAAACTAAAACAGGAAGGAACTATACAAAAACTAAATCAGGAAGGACTTATACAAAAACTAAAATAAGAAGGAACTACATAGAAACTAAAACAAAATGTAACTATACAAAAACTACAACAAAAAGAAAATACACAGAAACTAAAACAAAATGTAACTATACAAAAAACTAAAACAAGAAGGAACTAAACAGAAAGTAAAAGAAGAATAAACTATACAGAAACTAAAAGAAAAAGGAATTACATATAAACTAAAATAAAATGTAAATATACAAAAACTAAAACAAAAAGAAAATACACAGAAACTAAAACAAAATGTAACTATCCAAAAACTAAAACAAAAAGAAAATACACAGAAACTAAAACAAAATGTAACTATACAAAAACTAAAACAAGAAGGAACTATACAGAAACTGAAACAAGAGGAAACCATACAAGAATCTAAATAAGAGGGAACTACATAGAAACTAAAACAAAATGTTACTATACAAAAACTAAAACAAGAAGGAACTATACAGAAACTTAAACAAGAAGGAACTATACAAAAACTAAAATAAGAAGGAACTACATAGAAACTAAAACAAAATGTAACTATACAAAAATTAAAACAAAATGAAAATACATAGAAACTAAAACAAAATGTAACTATGCAAAAACTTAAACAAGAAAAACTATGCAGAAACTAAAACAAGAAGGAACGATACAGAAACTTAAACAATATGGAACTATACAAAAACTAAAACAATATGTAACTATACGGAAACTAAAACAAGAAGGAACTATACAGAAACTAAAACAAGATGGAACT